GACTCAGTTTGGGGTTAGTGGCCGTGGAGGTGGTGAGCTGTGGGGAATTCAGAAAAGATGCACGTGCTAATGCATTGGCTGTCAGAGGACCGACTACATGATTTCCAGGGCCCTGTGCAAAATCAAAATGTAGGAACCTTGTTCAAAGATGGTCAAGAATTTCAAGATGACCACAGCAGAGCTTTAAAGCGAGCACGGGGTCCTTCTAAGTGTGAGGCCCCGTGCAACTGTCCGGGCCACACCCAGGACAGAGGCATCCGGTCGGGGCCTTACAGCGGCCCCTGGTCCCACTTGTTGTTCAGAGGGACCGCTGCCCCAGGGCTCCTCTGCCTCCCAGGGGCCCCTGCAGTCTCCTCTCAGGGGGTCCCCATGGGAAGGGACGCCCTCATCCCACCCGCTCTCCCACGCCCGCCCTCCGCCCCTGCCGCCCCTGGCTCCTGTCTGATCGGGTAGGTGGGGGCTCACACCAAAGCTGCCAGGCTGGGGTGGCCCTGGGTTCCCCCCGCCCGGAGGGTAACCCTCCTGGGAGGCAGATGTGTCTGAGGCAAGTAGTGGGCGGGGACCGCGCCCGCCCCTAGCCCCGCCCCCACGCGGAAGGTCGCGGCAACGCGCAGACCACCGCGGCCGCGGGGCCCGCGCGCACCATGGCCGCCACCACACCGATGTGCGACTGTCAGGTACCCGGAGGCCGCCCTCGGCAGAGCGCCCGCGGCCCTGCATCCCCGGGGTGGCCTGGTGCGCGGGTGGCAGCGCGATCAGACCTTCCCGGGGACCAGAGGGGGCGAGGTCCCCAAGAGATGAGTGCGGGTCCTGGGCACACGGAGGGGACAAGAGGACTCTCCAGTGCAGCCAGGCCCCAAGAAACATACGGCGTGTCCTGGCCGCTCAGAGACCACGGGTCGTCCTAAGAAGTTTAGCCCCTTATATACACGTTTTATTTCAGCCGGCTAGCTTCCTGACCTGCACTGGGGCCTGCTGCCTGCTGGCCAGGCCTTGTCTTGAGTACCGCCTCCACCGGAGGCAGCCGCAGCCACGGGCACAGAGCCGGGTGGGATGCTAAGTGCTTCCCGCGGGCCTGGCCCCTCCCTCTGTGCTGGGGCACATTGGCTGGCCGCTACCCTGGACGCACCCTGGACACTCTGGCTTGCAGGCCCCAGGGCCTCGGCTTCTCTGACTCAGAGGCCCCTCCTCCAGCGCCTCCCCTCCCAGGAGCAGAGACTGAGGCCCAGGGAGGGACCACCATGTACCCGGGAGTGACAACCGCTCCTGGGCCTGGCTCAGGGTTGGCCCTCACTTGGACGTGCCCGGTCCATCTGCTGGATGCAATGCCATGAGGCACTGAGCCCCTTCATCAGTCAGAGGAGAGCAGCCGGGCTCCGGGAGGCCATGGCCAAGGCCGCCCAGCCCACAGAAGGCAGCGCCAGGCTCCCCCAGGCTGCCTGAGCACTGTCCATGCTGCCTGGACAGACCTGCTCCCCAGCTCCCAGCAGGGCTCGTCCCCCAGACGTTGCCCTGGAGGGCTCCCAGCACCCTCCGCCTCCCCAGGGGGCATTGCTGCCCTCCTGGGGCCACAGGGCACTTGGGTCTCTGCAGAGCTCTGGGTTCACAGAAGTAGAGGTGGGACTTGACAGGAGGTGACAGGGTCTGTGATGCAGTCCTGAGTCAGGGCTTTGAGGGGGGACACAGGAGACTTCACTGTAATCTTGGCTCCATGCTGGGGGACCAGGCATCACCACCCTGGGGGCCAGATGCAGGAAGGTCCTCTGGACACCTTGGCATTGGGCCCTCCTGCTGGGCGCCATCTGTGTGGGCACCTGTGGGTGGCAGGATGGTTCAGGAAGTCAGAGGGGGACTGAGACGAGAGTCACAACCGCCAGGAGCAGGAAGGGGTGATGTGGGGGGACCCCTTCTCTCCCTTCACACTTGGTCTCCTGCAGGCGCCCACACTCTGACCCCAGCACTAGTCCACTACAGACAGTTACTGGGCAAGGCTATAGTCCTAGGAAATTAAGGATTGAAATCAGGAGATAATGAGAGGTGCTACCCAGGAACATGAAGTGGGCCATCATTTCATTACAGTAGATGGGGAAACAATGGAAACAGTGACAAACTTTACTTTCTTGGGCTCCAAAATCACTGCAGATGTTGACTGTAGCCATGGAAGTAAAAGATGCTTACTCATTGAAAGAAATGCTATGAAAAACCTAGATAGCATATTTAAAAGCAGAGACTTTGTTGATACAGGTCCATCTAGTCAAAGCTATGGTTTTTCCAGTAGTCATGTACGGATGTGAGGGTTGGACCATAAAGAAGGTTGAGTGCCGAAAGCTGTTGCTTTTGAACTGTTGTGTTAGAGAAGACTGTTGGAGAGTCCTTTGGACAGCAAGGAGATCAAACCAGTCGATCCTAAAGGAAATCAGTCCTGAATATTCATTGGAAGGACTGTTGATGAAGCTGAAGCTCAGTACTTTGACCATGTGATGCCAAGAGCTTACTCATTAGCAAAGACCCCGATGCTAGAGGACAGGAGAAGGGGACGACAGAGGATGAGATGGATAGATGGCATCACCGAGTCAGTGACATGAGTTTGAACAAGCTCTGGGAGATGGTAAAGGACAGGGGAGCCTGGCATGCTGCAGTCCATGGGGGCGCAAAGCATCAGATGCAACTGATTGAACAACAATAAGAATAGCACTCCTGGAACATGCACTTCACTAAGAACCAGTGGACCAGAACCTAGCCACACCTGTGAATTCCCATGAGGGATTAATAAGCCAGAACTGAACTTCTGACCATAACAGTTTGGGTGGTTTGGGGCAAGCCACAAAGCCTCTTCATTATCTAAGCTGGCAGGGAAGATCACCCCCACCCCAGGGACAAAGGGATCGAAGGCTTCTACATGTGCACATGCCCAGACATAAAAAGGTGCCAGGTGCCACGGCAATTCCAGTGCAACTGAGCACCAGCAGTGTGTCAAGCGAGTGATAAACACGTGATACAAACCAGTCACCACCAGCAGGTTGTCTCCCTTTGCTGGCACTCGACTTGGAGAGCAGGCGCCATCTCTGTACCCACCCGTCACAGAAACCACTGCAAGACCTCATGGAAGAAACCACACATTTAATTCTGATCAAGCATAAAGTGGCATCGACATAAAGAAACATGCTTTGGGGTGAAAATACAAGAGTTGTTAGCCCATTTTCTTAAAACATTGTACTGTAAATAAGCCACCAGGCCATCAATAACCAAAAGCCCAAATCCTAGAAGTATATATGGCAACACACATTACATGGAATATTCACTACTTTCCAGTGAAAACCCCACAGTGTACACATGCACGTGCGCACACGCGGACACACCCACACACCCACCATTTTGTTTAACAAAAGTCATGTCTAGTGGCCAGAAATGTTACTAAATTGTATATCCATAACTTGCAGTAGCCTTAAGCAGCAGATGGGAAGCTTCAGATTGCTGTGCCCTGGTCCACATCCCTCCATTTCCAGGCAAAAGGGCCACTCCTGGGACTCCTCATGAGGCCCCTCCAGCCCTGCCCAGCTGGAGTGTGTGTGTGGGGGGAGGGGGGGGAGTAAGAAGGCGGAGAGGCTCTGCAGTCCCATCAGCAAGGGAAGGGCCAGCAGGACTGAGGGACCTGGGGTTTGCCCGGAACCACTAGCCCTGGCCTCCCAGCCTCGGGGAGAGGGGGACCGGCACAGCAGAAGCATTCACCTGCTGCTTCTGACAAGCTGAGATGAGGCTGGGGGCCCTTATAGCTCCCTCCCCCAAATCTAGGTCTCTAACCCTCTAAACGGCAGTCGGTGCCAAAGACAGCAACTTCTAAGAAAAAGGGAAATGAACCCAGGACTCACAGATGGTCGCCCTCCTCTCTCCGCAGAGGCCACACTGCCCTTGACCCTCCTTTCAAGTCCCAAGAGTGGAGGCCACCACTGCAGACCTGTCCAGAGGTGGGGGTGTGCACCGTGAAGGACATGGATAGAACACACAGCTGAGCCACTAAACATTCCTTGACCCCAGAAACTGAGCCTTGGGGAGAAGCCTGCCTGTGGGTCTTGAGACTGTCCTGGATCACACGACGAGGTAGACCATTTTCTTCCCATTAATGTTTCTGGTCTTCAGCCCCAGGTAGCGGCGGCTGTTCTTCTCTGGCTGCCCGTACACCATGTTGATGAGGAACTTGGGTTCGTCTTGCGCCCTGGGTTTGAAGCAAAGGCAGCAAAAAGCAGATCTTAGCCGGCGACACAGGTAAGTCATGGCTTCCGCCTCTTCCGAGGGCTCCTCATATACAGGTTGCTTCATTTCCTTGTAGGCAGACAAAATCACTGCCTGAAATAAGTTGATCAATATGCAGATCATCACCAGCATGAAAGATGAGAGGAAGAGGACACCAAGAACCCGGTTATTGAAAAATTCTGTGTTCTGAAAAGCTGAGACACAGTAGGAAAATATTGTCTGGGTGGCATGGATCATGTCACTGTAGTTCCATTCATGTTGCCCGAATACCAAGTAGCCAAATGCCATGAAGACAAAGAAATACACGGATACCACCAATGCCATGTGGCAGATGCCGGGAAGGGCAATCTGGATGGCCCTCTGAGCCAGACGCACATCGTAAAAGACCCTGGAATACCGGAGCGTCTTCAGGATCGTCAGAAATACCAGGAAACCCAAAATCACCCTCATGATGTGATCCACTTGAGCCACTGGATGAAAGGGAATGAAATCCTCGGGGTTTGACAAGTAAGCCCGAACGACACCGATGGCCAAGAAGTGCTTCCTGAAAAAGAGCACGATCAACAAGGCAAGGANCAGCGCGGCGCGAGGCCCGCTGGACGCCCGGCCGGCAGGCAGAGGCCGCGGCGGCCGCTCAGGAAGATGCCGCCGCCTGGGGCCGCGCGGGCCCGGAGGGTGACACGGGCGCGGCCGACTCCAAGGCCGCCAAAGCCTGCGCCCCGCTCCCCAGGATCCCGGGAGGCCCTCACCGAGCGGAGCGCGGTCTCCGGGCCCCGCGCCTGGACGAGGGCGAGGGTCTCCGTCTGGGAACGCCGGGCCGAGGCGGGCGTCAGGACGGGGAGGTCTCGGGAAGGCCAGCCGGGCGCCTGCGGGGGATCCGGGGGCGGAGGCTGCCGGCCAGGCCCACAGCCCAGGCCCAGGCCCAGGCCCAGGAGCAGGAGAGCTGGCCCAGGCCCCATGGCAGGTGCGAGCTGCGTCGGAGGCGCAGGGCGGAGGGCCAACGGACAAGGCGTGTGGGGCGCGGGGCGGCCTGGGCGCGGGCCGGGGTCACGGCGGGCGTGGGGTTCGGGGGCCACGGTGGCCTGGGGTCAGCGTGATCAGTGGGCTTCCTGCGGCCCAGGAAATCAGTCGTTCAGTTTCCTCTCTTTGGGTCTGACCTGTGAATTCAGCTTACACTTTCACTTACTAATTTAGAGTTTCTGTAAAACTCCCCACAGTTATTGATTTGTAATTCAGTTTTGTTATGGTCACAGAATATTCTGTGCGATCCTTTACCTTTTCGAACGAGTTGAGACTTGTGTGAGTCCACCGTGTGGTGTGTCTTAGGTCCATCTGTGTGTCCCATGTCACCTGAATAGAATGTGTCTTCTACTGTTGTAGGGTGTACTGTCCTCTGTTTGGGAGTCAAGTCAAGAAGGGTGGTGCTGTTCCTTAGATCTGTGTATTGTCTGCAGTGTTTTCTAGGTCTAGCAATTGCTGAGAGATGATGATAATCTCTCTTACTGTAACCGTGGAATTGTCTATTTCATTGTTCAATTCTGTTAAGTTTTGCTGCTTATGTTTTGGAGCTCTAATCATTAGGTAGATACACAATTGTGGTTTTGTCTTTTTTCTGAATTGTCTCTGTTATCATTCAGCTCAGTCGTTCAGTCATGTCCGACTGTTTACCATCCCATGGACTGCAGCATGCCAGGCTTCCCTTTCCATCACCAACTCCAGGAGCTTACTCAAATTCATGTCCATAGAGTCAGTAATGCCATCCAACCATCTCATCCTATTATCATTATGATGTGTTTATCTTTTGTGACAGTCTTTGATTTGAGTTCTGCTTTGCCTGTTAAAAAAATAGCCACATTATATGTCAGTGATATCTCAATAAAACAGGGCGGTGGGCTATGGGGGGGATTGATATAAAATAAAATGACCACACCTGCCTTCTCATGCATATTGTCTGTGTGGCATTTGTTTTTTTCATTCATTTCCTTTCAACTTATTTGTGTCTTTATGTTTATAAGTAGTACAAGCCACATTTAATAGAGTTTTACTCTTTTATCCACTCATTCAATCTCTGCCTTTTAATTGAGTTGTTTAACCATCAACCCTGCATATTCTTTGGATGGTCTAGTGCTGTAACTCCAATACTTGGTCACCTGATGAGAAGAGCCAGCTCACTGGCAAAGACCCCGATCCTGGGAAAGACTGAAGGCAAAAGAAGGGAGGACAGAGGATGAGACGGGTAGATTGCATCACTGACTTAATGTGTATGAATGTGAACACACTCTATGGCAGACTGTCTAGGACAGAGGAGCCTGGCAAGGTGCAGTCTGTGGGATGGCAAAGAATAGAACAGAATTTAGCCAGTGAACAGCAACAACAAAAGACCATTCTCATTTAGTGTAATAGCTCTCAGCATTTCATGTAGTTACTATTGTTATTTTTAGTGTACATACTTTGTCAAAGTATCATTCATTTACAGTTTTCAGGTCCAGAGCAGCATGGTTAAGTTATACAAATACATAAATATTATTTTTGAAATTATTTTCCATCATTTATTACAAGATACTGACTAAAGTTCCTATGCTATACAGTAAACCTTTGTTGCTTGTTGCTTATCTATTTTTCACTAGAAATCTAGCATTCTATTCATGCTAAGTCAAGTGAAATCAAAATGTGATAATTTTTTTATTAGGCAAATTTATTCATTAGGCAAAAACTTTCTTATACAAAACTTATAAGTTTTCCAAAATATATGTTATACATAATTTTATATATATATATGTATACAAAAGCTTTTCTACTACACTTGATAAAGGCTTGAGAAAAAACATCAAAAGAAAAAAAAAGATGAAAAAATTGAAGAACATAAACTAAATGAGATGAAAGCACTAAATATGACATAGAAAAAGTGAAGCAACTAGATGAAAGTAAAGGATCATCATATAGTCTAGTTGTTTTAAACATGACTGCTCATTAGAAGGAGAAGGCAATGGCACCCCACTCCAGTACTCTTGCCTGGAGAATCCCATGGACGGAGGAGCCTGGTGGGCTGCAGTCCATGGGGTTGCACGGAGTCGGACACAACTGAAGTGACTTAGCAGCGGCAGCTCATTAGAAATATATCTGGACCTCTAGAGAAAAAAGGCAATACCTGACCATTTGTATTCTTAAAAAAATTTCAAGGTAATTCTGATATGCATCTGAATTTTTAAAAGTGATGACAAGTTTTTCTATTAGATCCTAATTTTGGTGGTATAGAGTTCTGTTATTTTTCTGTTGGCCAGTTATCATATAATGGTATTTGGTGAGCAATAGCTATATTATCACAACTGTAAAAGATGTTTATCAGTTTCCACAATCAATAGCCAGATCAAAAATAAAAGATAATTATAATTGTAATCCATAACAGGAACATTATTAACAGTATAAAATAATTAGATACAATTTGTGGATGGGTCAAGCAGAGTGATGTGGTAACTGGAAGTGTATACATGAACATGTTTTCACCCACAGCCACTCTATGTCTTTTGGTTGGTGGGTTTAATCCATTTACATTTAAGGTAATTATCAATATGTATGACCTTATACAAGGCCAAAGGCAACTTTAGCCTTGGAGTACAAAATGAAGCAGGGCAAAGGCTAACAGAGTTTTTCCAAGAGAATGTACTGGTCATAGCAAACACACACTTCCAACAACACAGGAGATGACTCTACAAATGGACATCACCAGATGGTCAACACCAAAATTAGACTGATTATATTCTCTGCAGCCAAACATGGAGAAGCTCTATACAGTCAACAGAATCAAGACAGGAACTGTTCATAACTCAGATCATGAACTCCTTATTGCCAAATTCACACCTAAATCGAAGAAAGCGGGGAAAACCACTAGACCATTCAGATATGACCTAAATCAAATTCCTTATGATTATACAGTGGAAGTGACAAACTAATTCTGGGATTAGACCTGATAGACAGAGTGCCTGAACTATGGATGGAGGTTCGTGACATTTTACAGGAGACAGTGATCAAGACCATCCTCAAGAAAAAGAAATGCAAAAAGGAAAAATGATTGTCTGAGGAGGCCTTAAAAATAGCTGAGAAAAGAAGAGAAGCGAAAGGCAAAGGAAAAAAGGAAAGATCTGAATGCAGAGTTCCAAAGAATAGCAAGGAGAGAAAAGAAAGCCTTCCTCAGAGATCAATGCAAAGAAATAGAGGAAAACAACGGAATGGGAAAGACTAGAGATCTCTTCAAGAAAATTAGAGATACCAAGGTAACATTTCATGCAAAGATGGGCACAATAAAGGACAGAAATGGTACGGACCTAACAGAAGCAGAAGATATTAAGAACAGGTGACAAGAATACACAGAAGGACTGTATAAAAAAGATCTTCATGACCCAGATAATCACGATGGTGTGATCACTCACCTGGAGCCAGATATCCTGGAATGTGAAGTCAAGTGGCCTTAGGAAGCATCACTACGAACGAAGGTAGCGGAGGTGATGGAATTCCAGCTGAGTTAAAGTGCTGCACTCAATATGCCAGCAAATTTGGAAAACTCAGCAGTGGCCACAGGACTGGAAAAGGTCAGTTTTTACTCCAACCCCAAAGAAGGGCAGTGCCTAAGAATGCTCAACTACTGCACAGTTGCACTCATCTCACACGCTAGCAAAGTAATGCTTAAAATTCTCCAAGCCAGGCTCCAACAGTATGTGAACCGAGAATGTCCAGATGTTCAAGTTGGATTTAGAAAAAGAGGAACCAGAGATCAAATTGCCAACATTCGTTGGATCATAGAAAAAGCAAGAGAGTTCCAGAAAAACATCTATTGACTACGCCAAAGCTTTTGACTGTGTAGATCACAACAAATTGTGGAAAATTCTTCAAGAGATGGGAATATCAGACCACCTGACCTGCCTCCTGAGAAATCTGTATACAGGTCAAAAAGCAACAGTTAGAACTGGACATGGAACAACAGATTGGTGCCAAATTGAGAAAGGAATACATCAAGGCTGTATCTTGTCACCCTGCTTATTTAACTTATATGCAGAGTACATCATGTGAAATGCTGGGCTGATGAAGCACAAGCTGGAATCAAGATTGCTGGGAGAAATGTCAATAACCTCAGATACGCAGAGGACACCACCCTTATGGCAGAAAGTGAGGAAGAACTGAAGAGCCTCTTGATGAAAGTGAAAGAGGAGAGTGAAAAAGTTGGCTTAAAACTCAACATTCAGAAAACTAAGATCATGGCATCTGGTCCCAACACTTCATGGCAAATTGATGGGGAGACAATGGACACAGTGACAGCCTTTATTCTCTTGGGCTCCAAAATCACTGCAGATGTTGACTGCAGCCATGAAATTAAAAGACAGTTGCTCTTTGGAAGAAAAGCTATGACCAACCTAGATGGCATGTTAAAAAGCGACACATTACTTTGCCAACAAAGGTCCATCTAGTCAAAGCTATGGTTTTCCCAGTAGTCATGTATGGATGTGAGAGTTGGACTATAAAGAATGCTGAGTGCTGAAGAATGGATGCTTTTGAACTGTGGTGTTGGAGAAGACTCTTGAGAGTCCCTTGAATAGCAAGGAGATCCAACCGGTCCATCCTAAAGGAAATCAGTCCTGAATATTCATTGGAAGGACTGACACTGAAGCTGAAACTCAAATATTTTTGCCACCTGATGCAAAATACTGACTCATTGTAAAGTACCCTGATGCTGGGAAAGATTGAAGGCAGGAGGAGAAGGGGACGAAAGAGAGGCAATGATTGGATGGCATCACCAACTCAATGGACATGTGTTTGAG